AAGTTTTTACCTTTTTTGATGTAGGCACTTATAGCTATAAACTTCTTTCTTAGTACTGCTTTTGCTGTATCCCATAGGTTTTGGTATGTAGTGTTTCCATTATCATTTGTTTCAAGAAATTTTTCAATTTCCTTCTTAGCTTCTTCATCCACCCCTTAATCATTTAGGAACAGCTTGTTCACTTTCCATGTATTTGTATAGTTTCCAGAATTCCTCTTGTTATTAATTTTTAGTTTTATTCCACTGTGGTCTGACAAGATGTTTGATATTATTTTATTTTTGTTGAATTTTTTTATGACCTAACATATGGTTTGTCCTTGAGACCAATCCATGTGCTGAGGAAAGGAATGTATATTCTCTAGCCATTAGGTGAAATGTTCTGTAAATATCTATTAGCTCCATTTGGTTTATAGTGCAGATTAAGTCTGTTTTGTTGTGTTGTTGTTGAGTTTCTGTCTGGAAGATCTGTCCAGTGCTGAATGTGGGGTGCTGAAATGTCCGTCTATTATTGCATTGGGGCCTATCTCTCTCTATAATAGTATTTGGTTGTATATCTGGGTGCTCCAGTGTTGAGTGCATATATATTCAAAATTGTTATAGGCTTTTGATGAATTGACCCCTTTATTATTATATAGTGACATTTTTGTCTCCTCTCAAAGTTTTTGTTTTGAAATCCATTTTTCTTTATTTTTTAAAAAATCTTTTATATTAAGTTCAGGAGTACATGTGGTGCAGATTTGTTTTACAGGTGAACTTGTGTCCTGAGGGTTTGTTGTACAGATTATTGTGTTTTCCAGGTATTAAGCCTGGTACTCATGAACTATTTTTCCTGATCCTCTCCCTCGTCCTAACCCCCACTCTTTGGTAGGCCTCAGTGTCTGTTGTTCTCCTCTGTGTGTCCATTTTTTTCTAACTTTTAGCTCCCACTTTTAAGTGAGAACATTCAGTATTTAGTTTTCTGTTTTTACATTACTTTACTAACTATAATGACCTCCAGCTCCATCCATGTTCCAGCAACGGAGATAATGTCATTCGTTTTTTATGACTGCATACTATTACATGGTATATATGCACTGCGTTTTCTTCAGTCTACCATTGATGGTCTTTTAGGTTATTCCATGTTTTTGGTATTGTGAACAGTGCTGCAGAGAACATACGCATGCATGTCTCTTTATCATAGAACAATTTATATTCCTTTGGCTATATACCCAGTAATGGGATTGCTCGATTGAATGTTAGTTCGGTTTTTAGGTCTTTGGGGAATCACCACACTGTTTCCCATGGTTGTTGAACTAATTTACACTTCCGCCAACAGTAAATAAGTGTTTCTTTTTCTCCACAACATCACCAGCATGTTATTATTATTATTATTATTATTATTTTTTACTTTTTAGTGATAGCCATTCTGACTGGTAAGAGATGATATCTCATTGTGGTTTGAATCGCATTTCTGTAATGAACAGAGACGTTGAGCTTTATTTCATATGCTTGTTTGCTGCATCCATGTCTTCTTTCGAAAGTGTCTATTCATGTCCTTAGTCCACTTTTTAATGGTATTGTTTTTGTTTTGCTTTGTTTTGTTTTGTTTTGCTTTAGACAGAGTCTCAGTCTGTTGCCCAGGCTGGAGTGCAGTGGCGTGATCTCCACTCACTGCAACCCCTGCCTCACAAGTTCAAGTGATTCTCTGGCCTCAGCCAACCTAGTAGCTGGGATTACAGGCATGCACCACAATGCCCAGCTAATTTTTGTATTTTTGGTAGAGACAGGGTTTTACCATGTTGGCCAGGGTGGTCTTGAACTCCTGGCCTCAAGTGATCTGCCTACCTCAGCCTCCCAAAGTGCAGGGATTACAGTTGTGAGGCATTGCGCCTGTTTTTTTTTTTTTTTCTGTTTTTGTAAATTTGTTTAAGTTCCTAATAGTTGCTGGATGCTAGACCTTAGAAAGATGCATAGTTTGCAAAAATATTCTCCCATTCTGTGTGTTGTGTGTTCATTCTGGATAGTCTCCTTACTGTGAAGACGCTTTTTAGTTTAATTAAATCCCATTTGCCAATTTTGGCTTTTGTTGCAATGGCTTTTGGCATCTTTGTTATGAAATCTTTGCCCATTCCTATGTCCGGAATGACATTGTCTAGGTCGTCTTCCAGGATTTTTATAGTTTTAGGTTTTACATTTAAGTTCTTAATCCCTCTTTAGTTAATTTTTGTATAAGAAGTGGTCCAGTTTCAATCTTTTGCATATAGCTAGCCAGTTATCCCGGCACCATTTTTATATTGCTTGTTTTTGTCAACTTTGTTGAAGATCAGATGGTAATAGGTGTGAGTTGTGGAGCATTATTTGTGGGCTGTGTATTCTACTTCATTGAGTGATATGTCTATTTTGGTACCAGTATCATGCTGTTTTGGGTACCATGACCTCCTAGTACAGTTTGAGGTCAGGTAACATGATGCCTCCGGCTTCATTCTTTTTGTTTGGGATTGCCTTGGCTATTCGGGCTCTTTTTTGGTTCTATATATGAATTTTAAAGTAGTTTTTTTTTTTCTAATTCTGTGAAGAATGTCATTGGTAGTTGAATAGGAATATCATTGAATCTATAAATTGCTTTGGTCAATTTGGCCATTTTGACAACATTGCTTCTTCTTGTTCATGAGCATGGAATGTTTTTCCATTTGTTTGTATCATCTCCGAGTTATTTGAGCAGTGTTTTGTAGTTCTCATAGTAGAGACTTTTGTCCTCCCTAGTTAGCTGCATTTCTAGGTATTTTATTCTCTTTGTGGCAATTGTGAATGGGATCGTGTTTCTGAGCTTGGCTCTGAACTTGAAGGTTATTGGTGTATAGAAATGCTCCTGGATTTTGCACATTAATTTTGGATCCTGAAATTTCCTGAAGTTATTAGATCAAGGAGCTTTTGGGCAGAGAGTCTGGAATTTTCTAGGTATAGAATCATATTGTTTGCAAACAGAGATTGTTTGACTTCTCTGAAAAACATAGTGGAGTGAAAGAAAACATCTGTCCGCAATGGAAGAGAACAATAAAAATGCCCAAGAATAAATTTAATTTGAATGTGAAGAACTAATATGAAGCAAATAAAATCATTGAGAGGGATACATAAAAAGACTTGAGGAATTGAGGAGTGGCTGTTTCTTGGATAGAGAGATTCTAAAATAAAAAGACAGTTATTTTCCCTCAGTTAAGATGTAATTTAAAAATAATAATTAGTATATCAACAAGAATATTTTAGCACCTGATCAAATTATTCCAAAGTTCATCTGAAAGACAAAAGTGTTAGAATAGTTAGAAAAGGAGAAAGCAATGAGGGAGGGCTAGCATTATGTCACATTTCTAATATAATTAATCAATAGTGATTAAAATGGTACAGTAGTGGTACAGGTATAAATAACTCAATGAAAATAATTAAAAGACAGTTACATACAAATTCAGTGGGGATGTAGGAGATGATAAAAGAGCCATTTCAAAACAGTGGGTGAAACAGGGATTCCACAAATAATGGTGATTCTCTACCACTTTAACGTTGTCCAGTTAGATCCATGATTTTGAAGATACAATAATGTAACAAAAAACTATGAATCTTTTATTGTATTGGAGTGGGTAAGATCATTGCAAGCATGACAGCAAACTCATGAAGGAGGCAAGAAAATGATTTATGAGAGCATATGTAAAATAGGTATTAAAATATGTAATATTTATTTCTATCATGGTGAGTTTTTCTGAAACACATTCTTCCCTGAGAGTAACCTGGGGCTCATATTCTCCAAAGCCATTGGAAGTGAAAGAAAGGTTGGGTGGGGGAAAAGAAAAGTGCTTTCTTTGCAAGTTCATTTTCATTGTCAGGAGAGCTTGTGGTTTAGGTTCTCCACGGAGGCAGGAAAACTTCAGTCCCTTGGCGAATGCCTCACTCAGTGCGCATGCTGCACAGACCTGTTGCTGTGCGTGTCTGTTGCTACGCATGTCTGTTGCTGCGCTTGCGCCTTGTCGCCCAGCTTTGTCCGCGCAGAGTTCTGTAAGGAAACGTCTTGTCTTCATTCTTTCTGCCATCTTCATTCTTTCTTACTGACTGAGACTCAGCAGGTAGGTCCACAGATCGGTCTTTCAGGGAATTTAGTTGTGAGTGAATGTCAGGAGCCAGAGAGCTTCGGACAGGTCCTGTGGCACAGTTCGTGGTTTTTGAAGGAAACGTGCCTCTTGGCAGTCATCTGGCTCCTCTCAGGTCGTGACCCCGCCATGGGCCTTGTTGCTGGGCTAGGATGAGGGAGGAAGGTGAACGGCGGAGGAGAGAGACACGTGAAGATGGGGCGAGTGTTGAGAATGCTGTTAGAGGTGATTGAGTCCCGAAAACTCCTGGAACTCTCTGAGGGAGGACAGTTTCCAGACTCCTCGGTAGGGACGTTGTGGGTGGTAAGGAAGGGGCCTGGGAACTGGGAATGCTGTGGGCTGGTGACTGTTGCCCTGAGGTCTGTAGAGTGCCTGGCAGAGGTGTCCTGTGAGGAGCATGACCTTCACTGTGTCGCAACTTCTCACCTCCGCCATGGACATCATGGGAAAGAATGGGCGAAGCTGTGCATTCCAACAAACCACGATTTTTTGGGAGACGGGGGTTGGCATGTGGAGGAGAAATGAGCCTAGTAAGTCAGAGTTGGGCGAAAGCAGTAGTCACTTCAGTTTCAGTTCTTGGCCCATATTTTCATAAACGTGTTCATGATGGCGAGTCTAATTGTGAAACCAAAACTCTTAAAATTTTAAAAGGCCCCTTTCTTTTTACTATGGCATAAGGTGATTTCTATGCTTGTTTCACTATGATATAAACAAATCTGTACTATTTTGATTGGAAAGCATGCGTGCTTATCATTGCCCTGTGACTCATTTTGAAAATACTTTCAAAATTAAAAAAGTACAAATCATTATTTTGCTATGGAATGTTCATATATATATAGCTAAGTTGTTACACACATTTTTCATATAACAATATTCTATTTTCAGTGGGAACTATGAGTGAGCATGTGAGAACAAGACCCCAATCCTCAGAAAGAGGAAATGACGAAGAGTCTTCCCAGCTGGTTGGACCTGCGATTGTGAGTCCTTCAACATTTGATGTTTTCTATTAACACAATGGAGTTTTAAAAATATTTCTGAGCTAGTGTACATGAACTGATACACATCTTCCATGCTGATAAAAAATATTAATGGCATCTCATGAAGGAAACTTTGGTTCAGGAGTATTATATTCTGGTGTTGCCTGTATGGATGTGGATATTTCACTATGTATACATATGTATATATAGTGGAAAATGTCATTAGACTTATGATTGACTTATTATGCACCTATGCATTGTGTGTATTAATATTACTGACTTTTTATTTGCATACAAACTTATACCCTTAGGTCCAGCAGCCCACTGAGGAAAAACGTCAAGTGGAGCCGCCAACTGAAAATCAGGGTGAGGAGATCAAAAGTAAAGGAGCACCTGCTGTTCAAGGTAAAGGGAGAGTGAAGAATAATGATTATGGGTGGTGGAGGTGTACTTATGTATTATATTTTATGACATACCCGTAACAGGAGGAAAGAAAGCATTGGGAAGGAATCTTAAACATTTCCTACTGCTGCTATGGGGAGGAGTGGGACAAGGATGCATACAAACCACAAAACTTTTCTACCGTTTTGACAGGGGCTTTTTATTGATTGGATATTTGCATGGTTGCCATAAAACTCTGAGTATTTTCCACAGCTCCTGTATGGTTTTCCTCCACCAGTTTCTGCCTTTTTTTTTAATGTTTCTGTGGAAGAATGGCAGCTTGCAGCTTCCTAGTCTGCCATTTGCTGCCAGCTCATGTATTTTTAAAGATACTTTTTTCACACATTTATTAATACTTCCTCATGCCACATAATAGACTAAGTGCTGGAGATGCCAGTGCTAAATTTCTGCATAAAACTAGTAGTCTAGTAAGACTGACTCAAAGAAATCACTGATTTAATGTGCTAAGTATAATGAGTACAAAAGGGATGAATAAGGTGTCTAAGGCCAACTTTGGGAAAGGAAAGGGCAATCTTTGAAAATCTCTGCTTTCCTGTTTTTTGGCAACAGACTCCTGAAAAAATTAGCCTACAGGTTTTTATTTCACAATGATGAAGGAACAAATATTATCATTTCCTCGTTCATAGTTCACATTTTAATTTGTAAATTGATGATCTTTTTATCTTTAAGAGCTTGATATGGAAGCTCTTCAACAGGAGCTAGCTCTGCTTAAGATAGAGGATGAGCCTGGAGATGGTCCAGATGTCAGAGAGGGGTTTCTGCCCACTTTTGATCTCACTACTGTGTTGGAAGAAGGTATGTTATTCATTAAGATGCAAATTATAGGATTTCTATTTTCACAGTATATTTTGCAAGACACAGGTAAAATTACTGCTATTTTAATATCATGCTTCACATATAACGAGTCTTTGAAGATAGCTCAGACCCCAAATGGTTGCCTTACACACTATCAGAGATAGAGGGTCAAGTGTGGTGGCTCACGCTTTTAATCCCAGAACTTTGGGAGGCCGAGGCAGAAGGTTCACTTGAGGCCAGGAGTTCAAGAGATAGGGAAAAATTGGGACAAAGCTAATTGAATTACAATATGAAAGATATGAAACATGCTAAGAGAGTAGATTTCAAGTGTCTTCACAGCTATGTGAAGTAATGCACATATTAATTAGCCATTTCACAATATATATATATTTAATGTATCATGTTGTGCATGATAAATATATATGATTTTATGTGTCATTTTTAAAAGAAAGATATGAAAATGTTTTCTGACTTTCGAATGTAAGTCATTCAACCAACAGCCAATAGTTTTCAGATATTTTGATAAAGGCCTGTTTTTAACAAATACATAACATGTTTATAATAATCATCAGTTTATATTGTGATATTAACTGTGATGGTAATGGCTTGAAGCTAGCATGGGTATTTAGTTTACTGAATAAACTGAAATGCTTTCAAGCATGTCAAGACGCAAAAGTACCAGTGAAAATAGTGACAAATGGTTACCCTACCTAAAGCAGCTGTATAATGGGTAAACTAGTCCAAAGTAACATTTCTACACTTTTCCACAAGAGACACAAAACAAATGTAATACTGACTTTTCTGTTTACTTCACTTAGGCAGTTCTAAGCATATTCTATATTCAGAGTGTTATTTCATATCAAAATATTTAAATGGTACTTTTAAAAAATTCTTTTTTTCTTAGGTTTTTGTTTAGTTGAATTTTTACTGAAAGTGTATGCATGTTTTTGCTTTCTACTTATACATAAAAAATAGATTCAGTTGATTTGATTCATTCTGAACTCGAATAGTCTCTTTGTTTCCTTATTGTACTAGAAAAAGTGGCATGAATTAAATATATTGCTAATATGCCTGGAAGTCTACTTTCAGAGTTTATTTAAAGGCTAACTGGATGTAAGCTTAAGGGTCACCCTTAAGGTTCTGATTTTAGCTAATCAACACTGTAGTTGTTCACCTCTAGTGTCATCTAAATAAAAATCTGCTGAATAACATGCCCTAATTTTTTATTTGTATTATAGGTGAAGGGCAATCCGAGGTTTAAACCAAGACAAATGAGGACTGAAACCAAGAATGTTGCTCTTATGCTGGAAATTTTACTGCTGACATTCTTTTAATAAAATTTTACATTTTCCTGCAAAGAATTCTTGCACAGTTTTGTAATTTATTTCTAGGTTTTTAATACTCTTGAGAATCGTATCTATTTTGAAGGTTTAAATCCTGTGTTTGAAATGGTATATAGAGATAATATATTGGTAAGTTGATTTTCTATCCTGCAACCTTGCTGACTATGTTTATTAATTCCAAAAGTTTACTTCTAGATCCTTTTGGATTTTAACATATACAATCATATAACCTTTGAATAATAACAGTTTTTTTGCCATTTTTAATACTATTCCTTTTATTTACTTTTCTCATTCATGTTAGTGGACAGAATTTTCCAGTACAATTTGAATATAATTGGTGATTGTAGACATCCTTGTCTTGATTCTGATCAGAAACAGATCATTTTCCACATTTCACCATAATGTTTACTGTATTTTTCTTGTAGGTGCAGTTTATCAGAGTAAGGAATTTCTATTCCTGGTTTGCTATAAGTAGTTATCCTCAGTATATGTTGAATTTTATCAAACACTTGTAGTGCATCTACTATGATGATCACAGGACTTTTCTTTATTAATTGGTTTATGTGGTAAATTACATTGACACGTTTCTACATTACATCGCTGAGCTCCCATTTTTATCTTACCATCCCAATAAAACAGTTCTTCAACAAAGGACTTCATTCAGTGTCCACAGTGCTTAGGGAATGCCAGGGGATTATATATGTTAATGATTTTTACCCCATACAGAGTTTTAAGTATATTTCTTTGATCCAAAAAGATTTAAAATCTGTGGTCCAAATTAAAAAATGAACCTAAATTTAAAGGTATCCCAATTTGCCACAAAATATGTGAGGCGTCCATAAGCTGAGGTAAAGTTTCTTGCGTCATATCTGTACTGTCTCTTTTTGGCCACGGTATGAAACAGCTGTGGGTTTTCATCCTGGTCCTGAAATATACTGGCTGGAAAATGTACTTAAATTATTCTGATCTGCTTCCATATTTCTAAATAGAATTGTAATGTGTATCTAAATCACTGCTATCATGAGTAAGTGAGCAAACCTATATGGAGGAGATATTACATTATAAACAGATTTGTTTCATTAGTTAGATTCCATTTTCATTAAAATTTTCTTTTTTGCATTTTTTAAACCTTTACAATTATACTTCTAGCAAACAATATTGCTTTTGAATTTCAAGTAGGGGATATCAAATTAACTTTTTGATGAATTTGAGTTAAACTGATTTAAACTTTCTTTTTTTCCTTATTGCTTTTTTCTTTTTTAAATTGAATATATTAATTGATACACATGCATTAATGCCTGCCATGTTAAGAAAGTGTTTGCGATGCTGAAATTGAAAAGTACTTGCCATGAGAGATACCACACTCTAGTTTGAGAAACAGCCACATAAATAGAAAAGCAGTTGAAGAGTAGAAGAACACAGGCAAGGGGCCCATAAAACAACAAAAGCAATGAATACTGTAGCCTAGAATCAAGAGTCAAAGGGAAAGAATGATTGTGAGAGTAAAATAACTAGATTGGACTTCCCATATCTGTTGATTACTGGGTTTATATTCTTGATTCTTTATTGCCATAAGGTTGAGTGACATTTATGCCTTACACTCATAAATACTAAAATAATCAGATAGACAGTCTTATGTTGATTCAAAAAATGTTCACTGATGGACTGGTCTGTTCTTCAGCCCCTTTGGATAAGATCAGTGAATTGGCCAATACAGCCCTTAACTGAGGGCCAATCTGACCAGGATGTCCAAGATTTGTTATGAACATAAAGATAGGAAATGTGCTAGTACTAGGTACTTCCAGACAGTGTGGGATGAAGGCCAGAAACACCTGCCTAAGAGAATATAAGTTTGGAAAGATAGTTCTGTGATTTGCAATGTATTATTCACAGTAAACAAATTGCTGGTTTAATAATGGCATATTTGGTTAAGTGAGTAGCATATGTCACAAACATGAAGACAAAAACCCAAAACTTGTCTGATAACCTGGGAATCGGGCTCTGGGCATTAGTCTAGACAGATGCTAAGGACATAGGAATGGTTCATGCAGGGTAAGAGCTCTTAGAGCTCAGAGTCTAATTAGTAAAGAACCATTCAGAAGATTATGACAATACAAACGTAAAACAAGCAATGACAGGGATGAGCCAGGGGATGCTCAGAACACAGAGGCTGGCCCTGTAAACCAAAGTGGTTGTTGGAAGTAGCTTCTTCCAGGGGGTGATGTGTGTGCTCTAGATAGTTTCTCTGTAAATAACTTTTAATCTCTCTGGTCATTATTCCCCTTTCCATAAAAAATATATCTATCTCCACTCAATTATCTCTTTTTAATAGATGAGGTAGCTGAGGATCAGAGAAGGTGAACTTGAAGGATCTTATTCAAGTTCAAATCTTTGGCCAGTGGAACAGCCAGTTTTCAGCGCTTTCAGTTTACACGCATCTTTTATTATATTAGGTTGGTGCAAAAGTGATTGCAGTTTTTGCTATTAAAAGTAATGGCAAAAACTGCAATCACTTTTGCACCAACCTAAATAACAATTTTTTCGTTCTTAATACTGTTTTATATTTTAATTAACATTCACATGCTGTGTATACTTTGCTTTCCTTGTCCCATAAATTATTTTTCTTGAGTTCATTTGCAGTTGTAGAACTTCATCGCTAAACAGGCAAAACATTTTTAAAAGTGGACTGTGCCACTTTGCATTCCCACTAGCAGTAAATCAGGGCTATAGTTGTTCCATACCATCATGAACACTTGGTATAGTCAGTTGTTTCAATTCTGGTCATTCTAGTAGTTGTGTAGTAGTATATCCTCTTGCTTTTAATTTGCATTTCAATATGTTGAACATATTTTTTTGTGATGGAGTCTCACTCTGTTGCCCAGGCTGGAATGCAGTGGTGCGATCTCAGCTCACTGCAACCTCCGACTGCCGGGTTCAAGCGATTTTCCTACCTCAGCCTCTCGAATAGCTGGGGCTACAGGAGCCCCATGAGCCACCACACCCAGCTAATTTTTTTGTATTTTAGTAGAGATGGGGTTTCACCATGTTGGCCAGGATGGTCTCAATCTCCTGACCTGTGATCCACCCACCTTGGCTTCCCAAAGTGCTGGGATTACAGGTGTGAGCCACCATGCCTGGTCATTGAAGACATTTGTTGTGTTCATTTATCATCCATACATATTCTCAAATGTCTTGTACATATTTTATTGGGTTGGTTGTCTTGTGTGTGCGTGTGTGTGTGTGTGTGTGTGTGTGTGCATGTGTGTATTTTAAGAATTTACTATTTATATTTATTCTTGGTATTCTGAAAGTGTACAGTAAAACACCTTTGTCTGAGGCTCTTCACTTATGTTGGATAATCATGCCCTTCTTTGTTTAGGGGCATTTCTTTGCATAATTTCTATGATAATTTCTTCTGCCTCTTTCACTGTTCTCAGTATCCAGAGATTTTCTTAATCTAAATCTGTATCACCTTTATTAAAACTTTTAAAATTGTTTCACTGTTGTCTTTTATTGAATGCTTTTTTATTTGCTACCTAATTTCTAAGAGTCTTTAAAACTACTTTTTCATAATTGATAGCTAAAATATAAGTATACAGCTTAACCAGTTGAGTGCTCGTTGTTGATACCAAAGTGAAGGCAACTTCCTAAAACATATTGGATACTCATTTTTCCTCCTCTGCTATGGAAGGATGTACACAGCACTGGAGTTGCATGTTGCCCATAGACTTGTAAGCACTGCCACCCCCTCATCAATTTTGACAACAACCTAAATTTTTTAAAAGGATAAAAAGATAGTCCATGGGGAGCAGGGATTCTTAAGTTGTACGGACTTTGGTTGGAGTGCTTTAAATTAACTAAGTTCAATTTGGGGCACGCTGAAACTCAGGGAAAACTGATTTCTGCTATTCTTTCCAAGTCATCTGATGACTGTCTTTGATTCAGAACTTTGGGTCTGGGGAAGAAGAAAAACTTGGGGAATGAGTAAAAATAGAGAGATTATTGTTTTCTCCACTGATAAAGATAAACCCATAAAGTCTGTCCTATTTGTTCTCAAGTCTGCCCATTAAAGGTGATTGAAAATGTTTTTCTGTTGCTCAAGCTTTGGGTTATAGACTTTTGTCAGGAACTATGTGCTGGGTCAGAAGCCATACTGAAGATGGATGCCAGCCCTCCACCCCCCTTCTCTGCCTCCATCAGCGAGGGATCCTTGAGGTCTAAGAGATATTTATTTCAGCTGCTGGGATCATCTTCTCTGGATGAGGAGTATAATTATACAAATTAGTCTATGACACAGGGAAAGAAAACCTCAGGAGGATGAGATGTATCTGTTGGGCAACACAAGGCTAAGAATCCAATGATGAGGCAGCAGCCCCTCCATGTTCAGCTCAGATCAGAGTCATAGGCACCTAAAATTCCAAGATTCACAGGATGACAGTTTGCTGCAGTTTTGTAAAGGGGCTTCCTTCACAAAAAGTATGCATTGGTGGTACTGGTAACAGCCATTGCTTAATTTTCCACTGCTGCTTTTTTCACTTAATTCAATAGTTCTTAAGCCAAAGCTTTACCAGTGATTCATCAGCATTGAAGACTGAAGCCTGTTCCTCCAAGGTAACCCAATTGAAGTATGCTGTCTTCCTGAACATATCTTCCAACACTCTTAGCTGTTCCAGAGTAAAGATGTGTTCATTCAAGCATATCTTGGATTTGTTGGCATGAGATTCTTTGATGTGCAATAGTTCAATCAGCTGGGTCACATCTGAATTACTTTGTAGTGCCTCAGTTTACTCTATGACAATATTTTTAGTATTGAGCCATAATTCAATTACAGAAAAATTCACTCTTGTTCTGCAGTTCGAGTTTTGACAAATGCATGCAGTGTATAAGTACTACCACAATCAAGCTACGGAATAGTTGTTAGCCTCAAATTTTGTCTTCTACCCGTTTTCAGTCAACCTCCTCCTCTATCTCTATCCCCTAGCAACCACTGATTTGTTCTCCATCACTATAGTTTGGTCTTTTGTAGAATGTCATA